GTTTTTGAAAACTCGGCTGTAATTCGCACTGTGTTTTATCGTGGGGAACCTCGACTTCACAAGGTAGAAAGCATCCCTTGAAAGTCCTGCGAACGCGCTCTCCTATTCTCCTGTTCTCCTACTCTGTGGGAACTTAAGGTAGGAGAGTAGGAGAGCGTTCTCCTAGTCTCCTACTCTCCTACCCTGTGGGAACCGAGGGTGGGAGAGTAGGAGAGCGTTCTCCTATTCTCCTATTCTCCTACTCTGTGGGAACCTAGGGTCGGAGAGTAGGAGAGCGCTCTCCGCGTGCTCCTACTCTCCCACCCATGGTTCCCGCAGAGTAGGAGAATAGGAGAATAGGAGAACGCTCTCCTACTCCCCCACCCTCGGTTCCCACTGAATAAGAGAATAGGAGAATAGGAGAATGCTATCCTACTTTCCTACCCTAGGTTCCCACAGGGTAGGCACCTAGGAGAATAGGAGAACGCTCTCCTACCCTCCTACCCTAGGTTCCCACAGAGTAGGAAAATAGGAGAATAGGAGAACGCTCTCCTACTCCCCCACCCATGGATGGTTCCAAACAAGCAGGAGAGCATGCGGGCATGAGAACGCTCTCCTATTCTTCCTACAATAGGTCGGACACTGGCAGGGGAGTACTGTAGGAGAAAACGCCATGGTCTCCCACCTTCGGACCAGGCGTGAGTCGGAAAGTAAGCGAGACAGACAACCCCCGCGTTCTCTCGGAACGCGCTTGTGGAGATAAGCGTAGGAAAGCTACCCTCCTTCCATGGTTGCGCGCCGCTTTGGCTCAAACTTGCGACCAAAGTGTGGCTGTCCGCCGACTTCGCCCGACCGCTTCTCCGCTGTGCCCCAGCATGCCTGTGCCCTCGGCGATGACATGTTCCGACGCCGTAGCTGCCGCGAGCGGCAAGGTGGTCGATCGCCCCCCGATGTCCACAGACGACCCCTCTGCCGCGCAGCTCGCAGGCACATGGCCGCTGAAGGAGCTTGGCCAGAAGGCTCCCAGCATTTCTCACGTGGTCGACGTTGTCCGAGACTTTGAGATCACGGACGAGATCAAGAAGGAGGTGGCCGAGAAGTACTCCCAGGGCGCGTCTACGGAACTTCCTCACCCTTTCGGCCCTGGCACCATGAAGCCCGACACCCCCTTTAAGCTGCAGCTTCTGGTTTGGAACCCACCGACTTCTGGTGGCTCGTCCACGGACCCCGTGCCCTTACTCATCAAGCACTACACCTTCGACAACAAAACGACGGGTAAGGTGGCGAAGTCCGTCGCCAAAGGGGGCGTCTTCGGCATCGACTGGCAGGGCCAGTCGACTCGTGGGAGCACGGGCCGTGCCGCTTTTCAGCTGATGTTTCGCGCCATGGGTGGCTTCCAGTGCACGTGCTTCGATGTGGAGGCAGCAGCGCCTCGGGAGGACGCGGGCGAGGGCATCATGGACCCCGAGGACGTCGACATTGGCATCGACTACATCAACCTGCACGCCCCTAGAGATGGCGCCCAGAACGCCCAACTGCGCTGGATTCTGAAGAACGTGAACGACAAGTCCTCCCCGATCTACAAGTGGCAGCGCGGCATCGTTAGGGAGGCGATCCAGAACTTGGCGCGGGACGACGGCCAGAGGACCACCGAGCTCAGGCACCCAGTCACGCTTCTTGGCTTTGCTGGGTGGTTTCGCGGTGCTTTCGCCCAGCTTCTTCCCACGTTCACGTCGAAGGGCGTCGTCTTCGTGGGAGCCCCGGCAGGGAATTATTCACTGCGTGGAGCTCCCCATATGTGCATATACTCGCATGGACCTGTCCGTCGTGAATGTCTACGCGCAAGAGCTTTCGAATCTTAACGGGCTTCAGTTGTGACGGTCTGGACATCAATCTAACTGCGAATGAATTGGAGTGTGAATGAGCCTCAGTAGTACGAGAGCGTCTCTGTGCATGAGCCTGGGGCCTCCTGGGGCCTCCTGAAACCTACTGGGGCTTCCTGGGGTCTCCAGGAGCCTCTTGGGACCTCCTGGGACCTCCTAGGAAGGTTCCGTGCCCCAGGAGAGGCGCAATCTATAGCAACAGACGCGCATAAAACATTGCGGATTAGAGCCGCAGGAGAAGGGCAATCTATAGGAACACGCGTAAAACACCAAGGACTCGTGCCCCAGGAGAGGCCCAATGCATAGTAACATAAGTAAAACATTTAGGATTGTGTGCACAGGAGAAAGACCATCTATAGAAACATACGTAGAACATCAAAGAATCGTGCCCCAGGTGAGGCCCAATCGATAGGCGCATACGTAAAACACATGGGATTGGAGCCACTCCTGTTGCCTTCTGAGGCCTCCTGCTCCTGGGGCCTCTCGGGGCCTCCTGTTGCCTTCCGAGGCCTCCTGGCGCTTCCTGTTGCCTCCTGGGGCCTCCTGTGGTTTCCTGAGGCCTTCTGGAGCTTCCTGGGGCCTCCTGGAGCCTCTTGGGACATCCTGTGGCATCTTGAGTCTTTCTGTGGCCTCCTGATGCCTCCTGGGACCTCATGTGGTCTCCTGGGGCCTCCTGGAGCCTGTTGGAGCCTCCTGTGGCATCCTGAGAAGAATCTGCGCCCACGAGCCTGGCCACCAAAACAAGCAAACCGATCGAGACATCCTCAAAATCTGGCCCACCTGGGGGGTGAAAATGAGCGCCTCGCTCGAGACATCCTCCAAATCTGCTCCGAAAGCGAAGGATGTTGGGCCCAGAAACAAGCAAACCGCCTGAGACATCCCCACAAAATGGCCGCGAACGAGCCCGTGCAACCACCCCTGGCGGCTCCCCTTAGGGGTGCTGAAATGAGCGCCTCGCTCGAGACATCCTCCAAATCTGCTCCGAAAGCGAAGGATGTTGGGCACAGAAACAGGCAAACCGCCTGAGACATCCCCACAAAATGGCCGCGAACGAGCCCGTGCAACCACCCCTGGCGGCTCCCCTTAGGGGTGCTGAAATGAGCGCCTCGCTCGAGACATCCTCCAAATCTGCTCCGAAAGCGAAGGATGTTGGGCCCAGAAACAGGCAAACCGCCTGAGACATCCCCACAAAATGGCCGCGAACGAGCCCGTGCAAACACCCCTGGCGGCTCCCCTTAGGGGTGCTGAAATGAGCGCCTCGCTCGAGACATCCTCCACATCTGCTCCGAAAGCGAAGGATGTTGGGCCCAGAAACAGGCAAACCGCCTGAGACATCCCCACAAAATGGCCGCGAACGAGCCCGTGCAAACACCCCTGGCGGCCCCCCTTAGGGGTGCTGAAATGAGCGCCTCGCTCGAGACATCCTCCAAATCTGTGTATGAGTAAGTCTGTGGATGAGTAAGTCTGTATATGAGTATGTCTGAGTGTGAGTAAGTCTGAGTATGAGTAGGTCTGAGTATGAGTAGGTCTGAGTATGAGTAAGTACGTGTATGAGCAAGTCTGAGTATGTCCGACAGGAGGGGGGGAGAAAAGATGAGAAGGGAGGAGGAGGAGTAGGAGGCGTCCAAGTAATAACAAGAACCCCATCTTAGGATATGGGGAAAAAAACGCCAGTGCTGTATTCGCTCTGCATGGCGCTATCCCGCTACTGGATTGCCCGCGATGCGGTGGATCGAGAACCGTCTTTCCGCAGCACCGTCGACCTCGACTCTCTTCGTCGGAATCCAGGGGACAAGTACCGCCCAGACGTGGTGGAAGACGGAGACATGCAGGAGCAGGGCGTGAGCAAGTGGAAGGCTCTCCTGGACGTGGGCAACACTGAAGCCATCACCCGCGAGAGGTGGGGATTCTCGAAATTCCCGAAGTCGCAGTTCAGGGGCATCGCGATGAACAGCTACGACGCAGATGCTGAGCCAGCCGCCGACCCGCTGACAGGCCAGAGGAAGTGCGACGTTGAGACGTTGCTCGCCATGATAAGGCCGAGCATGCCCAGCGGGGCCTCTCTCCCAGACGCCAAGGCGATACTGAAACGTGCGAGCGTGTGCCTCAACACGAAGACCACGCTGTACATCAAGGAGGCAGCCCAGGACTGCGTGCACTGCTGCCCGATCCCCGAGGGCAAGAGCTTTCTCACGCCCGTGGCGGGCGCGGCGTGGAAGCGCTTCAGCGACTTCGACGAGATGCCCGACTCCGACGCGTTCGAGGAAGATGTCCGCAAGGAGCTGGAGCTTCTGAAGGATATCCTGGACCCTCTGTTCGACGACGTGCCTGCGAAGAAGAGGCGCATCTTCGCCGAGGGGCCAGACCTTGCTGGGTCGCAGCCCACCGAATGGGTCAACAAGCACTTCCACAGCTTGGGGGGCGAAGAGGCGGTGGTGTTGGACCTGGCGTCTGAGCTCGATGCCGCGGCCGCACCGGCGGATGAGCTCACGCTCGAGGATCTCGCCGAGGCGTTCGAGGCCCAGACAGAGGCGGAGGTAGAGAATATCATGGAGGACGAGGCAGCAGACGAGGAGGCGGCGATGCACATGGGGAACTACGGGCACCAAGCCGACGACTCAGCTGACTGAGCGGGCGCCCCCACTGACGAGGGCAACTTGTTTTTGGCGCGTTGCGCGATTTAGAGCCGCGCCGACATAGCGCTCGGCGCGGCCGCCCTGGCGCCAGCGTTGCGCCGATGCTGGCAGCAGCGCGAGCGAGCGGGATGCCGCGCCTGCAATCCACCAGCAGGGCTTCATTTTTAGCAGCCTAGCAGCCCCCTCACAGGGATCATCTCTTTTCGCAAAGCGCCGACGTGCAGCAAGTATCGGGGTCTCCTGCTGCGAGGCGCGATCCAGGACAGAGCTAGTGCATGGCCGTGGCCGCGACGCGGCGCAAAGAATTCCATAGAAAAGGGAAGACCCATCGCGTCGTCAGCGCATCCTGTCGTCGCCCCCTCCCTCGTTGCAGGCCACGGGAGTTCGCTACTGTTCCGCCGAGCCGTTTTGGCCCAAGAGGGCGCGCTCTTTCTGGTTGCTCTATCCATGAAGCGCCCCGCAGCAGCCCGCGCGCGTCGCGCCAGGCCGACCCGCCCTCGCAATGGCGGCGCCCGACGCGGTCAGTTCGCGTGGGGCAGGGGAGCCGACGCGGCTCACAAGTGCTCGTGTTGCGGGCAGGTTGGCCACCGCATCGGTACTTGCCCTCTTCCAGCAGCCAAGGAGTTGATGAAGCTGCGCGAGCTCGCTCGGCCGCGGAAGACCATCTCCAAGCGAAGCACAGAGAGAATCACGCCTCGCGCAGACGGACAATACAAGGCTGGCCGGACGATGCAGTACACCGGCAAGCTGCGGCCAGGCGAAGCGCGGCCGCAGAGGGCGAAGGAGCTGCTGAATAAGGGCGCCGACCGCAAGTCCTTTGACATGCGCGGGGCCGAAGAGGCCGTGCGGAACATGGTCAGCTACGGCTTCTTGCCCGCGCCGACTACTTGTCCGAAGTGCGGCTCTGGCTTGGGGATCGTCTCGACCAAGCGCTTCGCGGGGTACGTGCATGTCAAGTGCTAGGGCAAGGAGCACTGTGGCGTCTGGCATAACGTCGTCTCCCTGAGTCGCTTCGGCAACTGCAAGGTGAAGCCCGTCGACCTCAACCGCCTGGTCACTCACTTCTGCCGCAACAAGCCAGCCGAGTCTCCGCGGGCCATGGGCGCGGCCAATCTGTTCGGGATTGGAAGGGAGGTCGCGGACCACGTCTTCAAGGTGCTGAGGCAGCGGGAGTCCGAGCTCGGGAAGAGCGAGTCCACCGACATGACCTTGCATGGGAACGTCGAGGCAGACAGCCACAAGGTCGCGGAGTGCTTCGTGTCGCCGTCGAACGAGCACTTCGCCAAGGAGATCAAGGATTGGAAGAAGAGCCATCGCAACGAGAGCCTCCCGAACTACTTCAAGCTTCACGCGCGCGTCGCAGGGGCGTCGCAGCGGGGCGGGCGCCTCATCCTGGCGCCCTTGCCGAACAAGGTGGTGAAGCCGAAGGGCCGCCCACCGCCCGAAGGCGTTCGGGAGCTCCGTGCTACGCGCTTGCTGGAGCGCGTGGTTCGACGGTCGCCGCGCGGCGCCAAGCCCGCCGTCTTCGCTGATGGCGCGAAGGCGTGGCGACAGTGCGCCGCCGACTACCCGAGCATCAACTTCGAGCAGGTCAGCCACGCCCGCTTCCAGTTTACCAAGAAGACCGAGAAGAAGGTCGGGGCTTCCGACGTGGCGGGCACCCAGTCCATTGACGCCAGGTGGAAGAAGCTTCAGAAGTTCTTGCCTAAAGAGCTGAAGGTTCGATCTGACAGGCATGCTGGCGTGAACCCGAACTTGATGGAGTATATGTGGTCTTGGTGCTGGCGGCGCAACCACGTCGGCGAGGACTTGATGGAACTGCTGGGTTCGCAGTTCCATCGACCGTCATCTCAGCAGCGAGCGCGTCGCACGGGGTCGAGTGCGTCGCCTGGACTCGTTGCAGAGTCGCTTTCTCTCGCTCTCGCGCATGTGACGGGCCCGAGTTTGCTGCGCGGGGGCGCTGCCGCAGCTCGGTTTTGTCGCGCTCGTTCTTGGTGCCAGGCAGGATCGGGCGCTGCACCTCGAAGATAAATGGACCGTTGCGGTTCCGCGAGCATGGCGTCAACGCGGCTTGCTCGCACACAGGCGGCCGACGCAGGTACAACGCATGTGTGTTTTACTTGTTTGCTTTACTTGTTGCATATGTCGTGACATGCATATGGGGTAGCAAACACGCAGTCTGACACTACATCCCACCAGTTGTAACATGCAACTATGATGTGTCATAGTATGTTCAACATATGTTGCAAGTTGATTGTCCAAATTTCTCCCCCGCGAAATCGGAACTCCGTCCCATTTAAAATAAGGCGAATTGCAGCCGAGTTTTTTAAAACTCGGCTGTAATTCGCCTCGGCGATAGTAGGGCTGTGTTGTTGTTTCATATCTGGATTTGTTTATGCCTGTACATGTGTTATACATGTACATATCTATATGTATGAAGAAAGGCGCCCTCTGCCACAAATGTGCGTTGCGCAGGTATGTGTTGGCGTATATGCATACGTATGTATACATGTAACATACATGTTTCTATGCACATGTGTACATCACATGTTGATACATGTGTATACATATGTGCGTGCACGTGTGTGTATACGCACACGTACATGCCTGGATGAGTGCGTCGATACGTAACGGTGTGATTTTTCACATGTGCACATGTACAAGTGGGCATGCACGTTGTATGTTACAGTTGCGTCTATAGGTATACATGTGTATACATGCATCCATGCGCACGTGTGTACATGTATGTATGTATTCAATGTTCTGGCGTGCGTGTGCATATGTACATTTCCTGACATGTGCACATGCGTACGTTGTGCATGCGTATAAGCAAAATGTTATATATGCTATGCACTGTTTGAATATAGTATGTGTATGTGTATGCGTATAGACTTGTATTTGTACATGTACTTGGTATACGTGGCTATGTGTACATATCCGGACTATGATTGTAAAAATGTGTATACTGACGGATACCTGTGTGCATATGTATTCGTATACATATCGTTCCGTATGGGTGCACATGACGGAATGTTTAATTCACTTGCGTTCGTGTACACCTGGGCGTGTACGGTTTAATACGTATGTGCTGCGTATGGACACATGTGTATACATGCGTACATTCGCACACGGACACTTGTATGTATGCACTGATCGACACATCTGTGTATGTGTACATGTTCCAGCATGTAAAAATTATTATGCACACATGTGTATATATAAATATACCTGCATATATGTGTCAAGTGGGACATGCATTGTTTGTCATGCGTTGTGCTACAGTAGTATGTATAGATGTATATACACATGTATGCATCAGGCATATGACCTATATTCTTATATTGGTAAACCAACTGAGTGTACATGTGTACACGTATGGTTGGGTGTGCACAAATCTACATGCGTATATACGTACATGTTCGAATGACTATATATACAATTGTGCGTGATAGTGCAAATGTGTGTGGATGTGGTATTGTGTGCGCATTCATATTGTATTTGCGCTGCACGTTTCCATGTGCATACGTGTATGTACACATTTATGTGCAATCGTGTGTGGAAGAACCTACATATGTATGCATACCGGTATGTTCTTTTCCTGTGCCCAGGTATACATGCATGCGTGAAACTACCCCATCATGCGAATATGTACGAGCGTGTATTGGGTTTAGGGGACAGCACACTCACAATCTCCAGGGGGCAGTCAGGCTATAGGGCTTCACGGATGGACAACGCGCGTTCTTGGAAATGCAGTAATTGCCTTCGCGCCGCGCACATCCCGTCGTTGTGAGAATGTGTCCGTGCATTGGCATTCGGACGGAAAACATGACCGCATTGAGTATGCACTTTGGGTTGTCTCTGGTCCTAATTGTTCCTCCTCCTTTGCTGCTCTTTACGCAGCCAGAGGCGGTTCGATGATTCACATGCTCGATTGCACAGTGTTTGAAGACTCTGGCTTGCCGTTCCCCTGCCCCCCTCCTCTTCTGGGGCGGGGCATTCGCCAGGGGGCAACAATTCATCGGAGGAGGAGGAGGAGGAGGAGGAGTCTGCTGCTGCTGCCGCCGCTTCTGCCGCTGCTGTTGCAGCTGCGGCCAGAGTGAGCTGCCAGCTCCTACCGCCCCCTCTCCCAGACATCCGATGCCATGAGACACTAACGACGTCAGCCCCTGGAGGTCTGGGGACCTTCGCTGGGGCCAGCTCTTCTTCCTGAGTCGGTTTCTGCTGCTCCCGAGGCCCGGCAAGGGCCTCAAGAGCCAGACCATGACAAAACACCTTCGCCATGAGTCCCCATGGAGGAAGAGGAGGAGGAGGAGCAGGAGGAGCAGGAGGAGGGGGAGAAGATAATGATGCGGAACTCATTCGAAGCCGAGCTCATCTCCTTGGAGTGGGGCTTGGCGGAAGTGATCGCACGGGTGGGGTAGATGGCGGGATGAGCAGGGTAGCATTTCACACAACACAGCGCATAGGGTGGGTGACTGCACCTGGGCCCAATAGGAGAAGAGGAAGAAGAAGAGGAGGACGATGGAGAGGAGGACGATGGAGAGGAGGACGATGATGAGGATTCGGAGGATTCGGAGGATTCGAAGGAGGAAGAAGATGAGGAGGAGGCGGAGGAGGAGGAGAAGGCGGCGGGAGAAAAGGAGGAGGAGCAGGAAGGGGAGCAGGAACAGAAGCAGCAGCAGCATTGGCAGCAGGAGGAAGACGAGGAGGAGGACGAGGAGGAGGAGGACGAGGAACAGGAGGAACACGAGGCGAGGAGGGCGGGTGCCAGAGCAGGATCGTCGGGAGGGGAAGGAGGGGAAGCAACAGAACGATGAGGAGCAGGTGGAGTAGGAGGAGGGGGAGGAGGAGGATGTGGAGGAGGAGGCAGGAGGAGGAGGATGATGATGATGAGGAGGAGGAGGAGGACAGGAAGAGGAGGAGGAAGAGGACGACGAGGACGAGGAGGAGCATTGCATTGCAGTCGCATCGCGTTTCGTTGCCGGTTCGTTCCTATCGCCTTGCATGGCGTTCGCATTGCGTGGCATTGCAATCGCATGAAATTGCAATCGCATGGCAATGCCTTTGTATTGCGTGGCATTGCGACCGCATTAAATAGCAACCGAATGGCATTGCCTTCGCATTGCGTGGCATTCCACGGCGGCGTCTTTCGCACGCACGAGTTTCCGAACCCTCTACCAATTGGTCCTGGACGCATCCATGATATTCCGTAGCGCCTTTCGGTTCTAGCGTTTCGTTTTAAGGCGATGGCCAGAGGCCGCAAGTCATCAAGCTTAGGCTCGAAGGTTGCGGCTGGCAAGTTGATTGCCGACGCGGGCGGAAGTCAATTGCAAAGGGATGTTTGCTCGCTGCAAAAGCTAACTTTGAGCAACGTCGTGAACAAGAAATTTGCATTCAATGTGTGCTGTTCTGTGCGGGCGTTGTGGGGCCATTTGTTGAAGAATGCGACCCCTTTCCAGCAGACCGTTGTGTTTTTGGCAGTCTACCTCATCGCCCGGCAATGTTCGAGCGCAGATGGGTTCCGCATGCCTATAGCCTTCCATGGTGGGGACATGACTTTGGACTTGTGGCGTTCGCTACTCACTGTTCATAACCCGATATCTGGATACACGTTCCAAGATGTTGTGACGAATTTGCACTTACACCCCGTGTATAAAAACCAAGGGACCGATACCTTTTACAACGATGGGGCGGAATGGTGGCGCAACTGGAGCGCCAAAGCCACCGATGACAATTCGAAAGTGGTTTTGCTTCTGACTGCGCTGTATATATTGTGCGTGCGCAGCGACAGGGGGTTGGAATACTTTCGCAAGCACAGCAACGAGCTCATGTTCGGCTTCAAGAACTGGACCGCCCTGTATGAAACCATATGCCTTCACGACACAACGAACTACGGCACGAAGTCAAACCCTAAACGCACTCGGAACCAACACACAACGGAGCAAAAGACCTGGTCGGCTGGTTTTGTACTGGACGCACTATTACAACCCATGTGGAAAGATCCGACTTTGCTGCGCGACCTCATCAAGGCGACAACGCCAGATTCGTTCACGAAGGCTTTGGCGAATATTAAGCTGTTCGGTGGTGATCTGATTTTTACGCACACGCTCGAGTATTTACAACTGTGGGACGCTGAGTGCGCGCATCCGATCTTCTCATGTCGCATGACGAAGGAGGTGATGTCAGATTATATCAAAGCTGGTAAAAAAAAAAAACTCATCTGCGTTTTTGCGCATTGCCAATGCATGTGGGCAGCGCGGGGTGCCTGGGAGGCGCACATTCAAAGATCTGTGCGAGCACGTGTGGCAGCAACTGCCCAAATCAATAGATTTCCAGCATGGCCCCTCCTCAACGTTCCCACATTTCTTCGCTATTGATGGCTCCCAGAACGCTTGCAAGTGCGTTGAGGTGTACCAGACGTTCCTCACGGGCTCGTGGGCTGGCAAGCAGAGGCCACCGATTCCGCCAGCCCCTCTGCAGCGGGTGCGGAAGGCCGCTCTGAAGAGGAAGGCGGCCAGCTGCACGAAGCGTTAGAGCTCTTGCATGTATGCTGCAAAACCGCGTGGGGTCGCCCACGGCCGTGTAGCCTAGTAGTAGTAGTAGTAGTAGTAGTAGTAGTAGTAGTAGTAGTAGTAGTAGTAGTAGTAGTAGCAGTAGTAGTAGAAGTCGTCCTAGTCGTAGTAGTAGTAGTAGTAGTAGTAGTAGTAGTAGTAGTAGTAGTAGTAAGAATAGCAGTAATAGAAGCATGATTTGTAGCAGTCGTCGTAGTAATAAAACTACTAGTAGTAGTAGTAGTA